TTTTTAATTGATAAGATATCTTCTTGAAATCAAAATCAAAATAAATATCTTTTTATACCCTTGTTGCCATAAGAAATGCACCTGTGAAGGTGTCATATCTTAAAAATATTCTCTGAAAATTTCAAGTTGATCCGATAATTACTTTTTGAGTTATTCGACAAATAACAAATCGCGCTCGTGCACTTCAAAGCGCTCGGGAGCCGGTAGGTGAAACTTTACAAGGTGCGTTCCAAAGTAAACAGTAAAGTAACAAAGTAAAATCTAGTGGCGCAATCTATATATCGACTAGTGCGTTAGAATCTGCTATCCTTTATCGACTTCCAGTAAAAATTGCATAACATTTCAACTATTGGAAGTGAAGTATTGCATTTTAAGTGTCAGTATGTTTTTGTCATCGGTGCAAAAATGAGCTTCGAACAAAGAACCAACATTCAATTTTGTTTTAAAATTGATAAAACTTTTACCGAAACGTTTCAATTGATGAAACAAGTTTATGGAGATGATTGCCTATCCCGTAGCAGAGTGCACCAGTGGTTTCAACGTTTTCAAAGTGGTCGTGAGGACATAAATGACGATGAACATATGGGCCAACCAAAATCCGTGATCACCGAAAATTCCATCGAAACTGTGCGTGAATTCATAAAAAATCAGTCGAAATCATCATTGAAATTCATAGAAAAAGAATTTAACATCTCCAAAACATCGATTTATCGCATTTTGACCGAACATTTGGGCTTATAAGAGGTGTGTGCACGGTTTGTTCCGCACAAATTGACTGACGACCAAAAATTTCTCAGAATTCAACATTCGAAGAACATCATTAAAGAGGCAAAAAAAGACCCGAACTTCCTTTACTTACTCCTTATCGCGAAGATGGAAGTTGGCGTTTGTTGCACGATAATGCGCCGTCTCATCGATCGACGCTTGTGGCCGATTATTTGACCAAAAATCACATTTTAACAATCAACCACTCCCCGTATTCACTTGATATGGCACCGTGCGACTTCTACCTTTTCGGAAAAATGCATTTGTCGATGAAAGAAAGCGTTATGCAGGCGTGGAAGGAGCCGGGCAAGGAGCTAAAACACTCGTTCGACATGCTTTTGGACCGTGCAAAAAGCTATATTAAAGCAGAAGGAGAATATTTCGAATAAAATTAATTGATTTTGCTGATAAAACCATTTGTGCTGTCTTTTTTTTTTTAAGTCCTGTTTACTTTGGAACGCACCTTGTAAATGCGTTTTTCTCAAAACTATGTTTTTGAACTGGTGACAACTGTAACTCGAAAACCGCTTAGTAGATTTTAATTAAATTTATACAGGTTTTAGAATTCATAATAAACTCGGGCCTGATCGAAGGATTTTTTTTAATTTCGATTTTTTAAGACCAATAAACTTTCCCAAAAATCTAAAGCAAAAAAAGCTTCGATCAGGCCCATTATTATCTATTGTTTTTATAAAACTAACTTTTTTTATCCGATTAATTTTAGATGAATCTCCAAGAACTTATGATTGTCACCGCAAGGACCTTTTTTTGGAAGTGGGTCAACACAGACAGCTATAACTTTGGAAATCAAATTTTTTTTTTAATTTTCGTGAGTTCAAAGTTCAGCCAAAACATTGTATAATAATGTCATATTACTACTTTTGTAAAATAACATAATTTAATAGCAAAAAAATTGCTGAAAATTCTCATTTTTTCGTGCCTCTGACTACCCCTACCCCTTAAATGAATGTTGAACACATACCGCTTTCGAAAAAGTTTTAGAAAAAAGATTGACCTATTAGTCAATGTAGATATTTGTTTTTGCATTCGCTGACATTACATGCCTCTGCACTTCATAATATAAATAATAAATACGTTAATCCTTCTCCATTTCTCACATTCAAAGCTTTAAAATCAATCGGTATCAATGTCGCATCTTCCATTTGATTTACGTGCTCAAATGGTTTTTCACAATATTTGCTTTAAAGCGGGAAGCAAATAGGATAGTTATAAAATCACTTTATGCTTCAACAGTACAAATACAACAATGAAGCAGCGCCACATGCTCAAGGGCCCATAAGCCAACAAAAAGACAAAAAGTCAAATAAGACAGTAAAGTTATAAGCTGACTGGCTTTTAACTGGCATGACATTGCAACAAATTGCTATTAACTGCACAAACGCACACAATCAACTGAGTTTGAATTAAATGACAAAAGCTATGAAACAATAAGAAAATGTACAAACATACCATACATATGTACATATACACAAAAGGATACATGTCTGCTTTTCAGTTATATAGTACTATAGAAGGGGTTATAAATTACGGCTAAATTAATCTCAAACGGGTTATAGTAATTGAATTGTATGAAATAAGTGGATATATGGCCATACGAGAATATCTTTGACCGTGGGAAATGCAATAATTGTAAACTAAATTTATTTTAATCGTTAATATCGCTTTTCAATCGAACATATATGTTGATAATTGAATATCATACTGAATTTGTTTAAATAAATGACGACATACAGTTGATCATGAGTAATACATTCCCTTCGTAGGTCGAATCCCACTAATTCGAATGTTTGCCCTTGGGACTTGTTAATAGTTAACGCGAAAGATGTTTTTACCGGAAATTAAAGCCGTTTAAATGAAATTGTTAGATCAGTTGGGATCATCGTTATCCTCAATATATTGCTAGTATTATTTACATTATGGGCGAGTGAGCCGAGCTGCACATTATTTCATGACATTGACTCCCCCCTCGTGAGGCATATTATGTTGCAGCCAGCCGAGCGGATCGCACGTATCTTTTCTAATACTTACATTTTTAAATTCATGATATGTTGCAAATGGAATGTTCGAATCGAAAAATTCAAAAAGTTATATAAAGGTATGTATTATATCAGTTTTGAATATGAAGTAAATATTTTTAAAATTTAATACTGTTGTTGTTGTTGTTGCATTACAGAGGCGGCATTTTAATTATTTTTTTTTTAATAAAAGAACATTTATGGTGACGCGACTAAAACAGTTAGATATATGCTGCCCTGAAATTTTTATAGATATGTAGATCGTATGTTCTGCAAAGTCGTAGTACATTATTTTGTTTTATAATCCAAAGTATTCGCAGCACACGCTATGTAAGGAAATTGTTTGGTCATTGCTTTACACCTTGGGCTACATTATTGCCGTTTTAGTGAGATAGGGATCCTCGTGGGATCCTTTTTTTTTAAATAAAATATAACCTATGTTATACGGAGATGGTGTAGCTTCCTAAGATTTTTTCAAATCTGTCAAGTAGTTTCGGAGCCCTTTAGATTGAAACAAACAAACAATAAAATATTTTCTCTTTATTATATGAGTATAGATGAAGACGGGAATGAGACCTCAAGACAGGTCAAAACAGGCCCAAATTTATATCTGGCTCTTACGACTTTTATCAAATAGTTTTAAAAAAATTACATTTATAAGATGAATAAGTAAAATACAAAGAAAATACGTAATTCAGGCAGTTCAAAATTTTATTTAGTTCCAAAGTAGTCGGTTAGCACTACAAATAAACAATTAAATTTAAAATTGAGGAATGAGCCCCAGAGAAAAGTCAACATTTTTAACGAGCAACAACTAAATAAAGTTTTAGAAATTTGTTGTCGTTTAATTAAATGATTCATAAAAATATTTATCTGTGGAAAAATAATGAATTATCTATTTGGCATTTTACTGAAAATTATAATAATTATAATGCTAATATTTTTTTTTTAATTTTTGACATATGCTTATGTTTATAAATATATTTATTTTATTCATGGATTGTTTTACTTTTAATATATTTGAGATATAAACTAAGCTATCTGTTAGACGGATCAAACTGGACAGTATGCTAAATTTTACTAAAATCCGTTCAGTAGTTTAAAAGTTGACGGAGAAATCGTGACACGTAATTTTTATAATGTAGAAGATATGAAACTGAATAAATTTGGTTATTTATTTTAAAGACGTTTATTATAGGTAAAAAAAATCATTCGATTTAAAGAATTTTCGATTTGACGAATTAGGTGTACAACATAAGATTCTTAATATTGGACGAGCACCGTATATAAAATTAGTAGACTAATGAAGGATATTTGATGGTACAAAAGTCTTTATTGACACACCATTAGCTACCAAAAGAACATTAGGTAATAAGTGAAGAGGACTCAATTTTACCAAACAGTATTTTCTGTTCATTCAAAATGTTGTGGGAAAAAGATTAATTCATCATTTTAATGCCAAGCAATATTGGCAAACAAAAAAAGATGGCTAACCTGCGCTTAATGAATAAAACATATTTTTTAACCTGCAAATGTATAATAATAAACATGCAGACAATTTACAATAATATGTGGTATTGCTTAGCTATTTTAATTTTACCACAAAAAAGTAGACCACTACTTCACTCCTACATAATAATGTATAATAGCACCAGCCAGTTTTTAAAAGTCAAGTATTTTTACTGGATATAAAAATGCTTCCTGTAGAACGTTTCCTTCCGTCAATGTCTGTCCTCGACCACTTCTTTCTTCATACATCTATTTTCACTTTGGCACCAAATCCGCATAATTATATCATTAGTTAATAAAAATAATACTACCGGCCAAGGACTGTCAACTCGGCAGAATTCTGTCGTTACAACAACAACAACAACAAATAATACTAAATTATAAGGTATTAAGTTCTATAAACTTAATTTGCATAGTGCAAACCAAAACACCAATACGAGATGCGATGTCCATATAAACTATTGTGAATATTTTTTTTAACAAAATTGCAACATTTTATGATTGTAATCTACAATATATATTTTTACCCTTTGTTGTCTTTAGAAGTTGCTTTTTATATAATCCGAAAAACAGCTCTTTATTTACATTTTATTTTATTCACATATTAATACAATATATAACATTTGCAGATGAAAAAAAGATAACGTATGTTATCGATATCATTTATAAACCATTGTGAATGGTTGAAGAATCTTGCGAACAAAACAAAACTACGTGAACACATGCTTGCAAAGGCCGTATTCAAATAGGCAAATAATTCAACACGCTGGCATGGATATTTCATTAAATATAGCAACTGGACCAGCAATCTCAGGCAATAATCTTGTAAATTACCACCGAATGATATTGAAATCGAAAATTATTATTAATAAGTATATATACCTTAGGTACCTGCAAAAAAGAAGACCTCTGCAGGTTCATCATCGCGCAGTGATGGTGGCTTCACGTTTTCATTCGGCGGAGCTCAGCATAAAGTAAAAGCAATTGTAGCACGTAAGCGTCCAGTTAAAAGGCCACAAACAACTGATGATGGCAAAAAACTTTCGCAGAAACTTTTGGTACAACTTTCCAAGAATAAAAATTCGGAAAAGAAATCAGACACTACAAAAACAAATGCTGCCGAATCGGGAAATGCACATAACCCATTTAGTAAAATTGAGAGCCCCAAATCATCAACTAATTCCATAGATAATGGGCTCATACTTAATATTGCTACGGATTTCGTACCGAGTGCGCGACCCCTACCAAAGCAGAAGCTTAGTCAAGCTGAGCGTTTGCGAAACATGGCCAAACTGAAAAGTGAACAGACAAAAAATTATTTTACAAAGAAACCATTTGATAAAAATGCAAAAAAATCCTTCAACCCACGTAAAAATTTTATGCAAAAAAATTCACAAAACGAGGAAAGTACTGCAGGTGTTCAACAAAGTAGTGTGAATTTAGTAGCACGTAAAGCAAATGCGTTTCGCGTTGTTAGACCCCAAGACAAATCAGTTAAAAAAGTTGGTCTATTTGCGGATAGTCCCAATACACCTGTTATGGGCCAACGTTTTGTTAAACCTATAGTGGAACGACTTTTCGATGGTACAAAAATTGGTTCACTCAACATTCACCCACATGCTGTGAAAAATTTAGCAGACGTGTTGAGTATTGTTGAACTAACGACTGTGCAGAAGAAAACCATTCCGTTGGCGCTTGAAGGTAATTACATATTAAATTTGAAAAACTAAGCAAATGATAGTAATTTTTATATTGCAGGTAAAGACTTGCTTGTACGTTCACAGACTGGCTCCGGTAAAACTCTGGCTTACGCCTTGCCAGTAGTTGAAAAGCTGCAGGCGGTGCGTCCAAAGATAACACGTGACTCAGGCGTGCTGGCTGTAGTCATTGTGCCCACACGCGAATTGGCCGTGCAAACGTATGAACTTTTTCAAAAGCTATTAAAACCATTTACATGGATCGTACCCGGTGTTCTGATGGGTGGCGAGCGTCGCAAGGCAGAAAAGGCGCGCATACGTAAAGGCATCAATATATTAGTTGGCACGCCTGGACGAGTTTTGGATCATTTGTTGCATACGGAGACTTTTAAAGTACACAATACAAAATTCTTAGTGCTAGATGAGGCAGATCGCCTATTGGAAATGGGTTATGAACGTGATGTTAAGCAAATTGTAGAAGCAATCGATACACAACGTTCCAAACCAGCTGAAGATGGTACTGTAACCGAAGAACGTCTACAACGTTTATTATTATCGGCGACGCTCACTGCGAATGTGCAACGACTGGCAGGGCTCACACTAAAAGAACCTGTTTTCGTTGACAATAGCGATGAAGACGCCTCAAGTATACCCAAAACTAATGGCTATAATAAGACCGACATCGAAGGATTAACTGCGGATGCACTGGATGACGAAGAAGAGAAGGGCATAATGACCATACCAGATAACTTGAAATTGCATTTCACAGTTGTGCCTCCAAAACTGCGCTTAGTTACTTTGTGCGCCATATTAGCGTATGAATTCAGCGATAAACAGCGCTTAAAGGCCATTGTCTTTATGAGTACAATGGAAATGGTAAACTTTCATCATGATTTACTAAATGAACTGCTGACACAAAAAGTACTCGATGAAGATGACGAAGAAGTGATCAAGGAGAACGACGAAAGTGAAGATGATGATGAAACGCCGTTACTTAAGGGTTTACGATTTTTTAAGTATGTTGAAAATGGTGAAAATTATAATGTAATATATATGTATAATACGTTCTAATTTCATAAATATCTTTAGATTGCATGGCTCAATGACACAAACCGAGCGCCAAGGCGTGTTCAATGGTTTTCGCGAATGCAAATCTGGTGTTCTGCTCACAACGGTAAAATAAATATGCGTATTTTTATTATCTTTATTTATGTCATATTTTGATTGCAGGATGTAGCGGGACGTGGCATTGATGTTCCTGAAGTTGATTTGGTTGTTCAGTATTCACCACCGCAAAAGGTTGCCGATTTCGTGCATCGGGTAGGACGCACAGCACGCGCCGGTCACAGTGGTAAGGCGCTTTTACTGCTCACACCCTCCGAGGCACAGTTTGTACGTTTTCTGGAGGATCAGCGCATAAGGTTCGGGTTACAAATTAAATTATGAAATAATTATTTCACTTCAAATCATATTTTTGTAGAATATCACAAGTTGATATGGATAATTATTTAAAAACACTCAATGAGCATGACGATGAGGCGAACACAATGCAAGAAGCGGCGTCAAATCTGCAACACAAATGTCAAGAACTCATAGCTGATGATAAAGAAATGCATAATAAAGCATGTAAAGGTAGGTGACGATAATTTATTTCTAAAAGCTGTCAGATTTTGTTTTGTGTTGGTGAGTTGATAAAGTGAAGAGAAAGAAAATTGATAACGATATGAAAATGTAAAGTGTGCTGAAATATTGAAAGCCAGTTATATTTGAAAATTAATAATTTTGAATGTATCCAATGCATGATTAACCAAAAGTTTTTATTTGCGAATATGTTTACTTTGATGAAATGTTGTATGCTGCATAATGTTTTTGTTGTAAGTGTTTTTATTTTGGTGTGTGGTGATTTGTGTTGTACATATAAAACGATTTCTAGGAAGAAATTTTTCATTAAATTTTACATTGTTTCGCCGTCAGCCTTCGTCTCCTGGACGAAATTCTATTCCACCTTCCCGAAAGAACTTAAACCGATATTTAATATTAAAAACGCGCACATGGGTCATTTTGCGAAGAGCTTCGGTCTGAAGGATCAACCAAAAACATTTACAAAGAAGCATTCGGAACCAAAAGCGCCGCCACCCACAAACCGCTTAACTTACACAGAAAGGTAAGGATCACTATTAAATGTAATTAATTTTTAGCCTGCAGAAATTAATGAAACTTTTAGTTCCTGTATAATATTATTTTTTAAATTTCTTATTTGCAGAGACCCCGAAAAAATTAAACAAGAAAAACGTGCAAAAAAGCGAATGTTCTCCACCACCGTGACCAACGAAGTACGCAACCCTAATCGGCAGCAAAGCAATAAACTGGTGAAAATGATGCCTGCCTCCAGAGCACTCACCACATCAGAGTTTGACAGTGGCTTGCCTTCCCTTAAGAAACGGAAGAAAGCTTAACAACACTGTTTTAGATTCTTATATTTTGTGAAAATGTTTTATGTTTTTTTAAATCCGAAATATGTGTAATTTTTATAGAGTAGTGACACCCAATTGAGAAATTTGGTATTTACACTAGCGGAACTGTGAAATAAAAAATGTTATGCAATTGAATGGTTGATGTTATTTATTGTTGTTAAGTAGTATTAAATATTTTTAATATATGCATACGAGATGCATTGTCACATTTGGTCTATTGATCATAATCTCAATAGACCCTAACTCATTAAGGAAGCCAAACAACGGTCTAAAGATGTGTTAGGCAAGTCTGGGCCCACCGCATCAAAACGCTGAATCCATTATTAGGGTTAAATTCCATAGAATGAAATTAATTGGCTCAATTGAGGGCATATTCTTGTCTAGAGGTTCGAGCGTTTTTGGGTAGTTGATAAGAATAAGCAATTTAGATTTTCTATTAACTTTTGTTATTATTTTTCGTTATTCTTATTTCAAGAGCACACAAAAAACTTACAAAAACGAGAAGAAGAAAAAAATAATCTTCAAATAAAAAAGTTGCCATACAAAAACTTGATTTGGATCGTTTAGTTTATTGGCAGCTATACAAGGCCGGCCCGAGCCAATTCACCGCCCTAAGCCTATTTTGTCTTAACAACAGAATTTATAACTTTTGAAAATTATTCAGGTCATTTTAACAAAAGACACATTTATATTCCAAAGGTTTAACATAATTAAAAAACTAGCGGCCCGTCATGCTAAACATGAAACACATATTCTCACTTTTTCGAGTCGAATTTAAACAAAATGGGAAATTTAATTCTTAGATATAATTTATTTTTTTTTGTACTTTTATCATTGTTTTGTGTATTTTTTATTATTAGTGTTTTTTATATTTTTTTGCGTTTTAATTTTTTTGTTTAATACAAACATTTTTTTTTCTCAATTTTAGGTTTTTATTGTGATAGAGCTTTCCTGTAAACAATATTTGATGTTGTTTTATTTTGTGGCAACAAAATAAATTGATTTTCAGGGGCTCCGACCCGCGATAGTCCAACATACAGTTGACCATGAGTAAAACATTTCTTTCGCAGATCGATCCCTACCAATTCAAAGGTTTGGCCTTGGGACTTGTTAATTGTTAATGCGAAAGATGTTTTTACCGGAAATTGAAGCCGTATAAATGGGATTGGCAGATCAGTCGGGATCATCGGTATCCTCGGTATATGAGCCAGTTGACCAGCTGCTGGGCCAGTGATAATAGTTGCTACAATTAAATTGTCCTTTAACTCTTTAATAAGCAGCATCGTCCCATTACACATGTTCGGAGGGCTTAAATTTCTTAAAAGCATTATTGGGATTCCAATTTTTAACGACAACGCATGTGGTGGCAGTCCAGAAGGGTTCAACGAATTTAAAAATTCCTGTGGATAATGGACTGCGTCTTCGATATTAGTCACAGTGTCGATCGATTTGTATGTTTTTATTTGGCCGGGGACTTTTTTAACTATTAGATTGTTTATTTCATTAACAGTTTCATTCTTAGGTGACACTATAGCCCTAGAACATAGCCAATGAAAATCTTTCTCATGCAAATTGTCGATATCATGGTAAATAGCATCTATTAAGTTTTCTAAATTATGGAGTATTTGACCTAGAGACTCATCCAGAAGAATGTCACAATCACCGCTTAAATTCGGAGTGGGAAAGATTCCTTCTCCAAGTTTTATTAGTTGTTGTGGGAAATCGCTATCAGTGATTCTATGAACATGAGCTCTCATATTCGTTCGTAATTTTAATGTTTCAATTGAAGCCCATAATGGTGACGATTTCAAGCATGCCTTGATGATATCTGCTCGCATAGCTCTATTAATAACGGGGAGAGTTTGTCCGAAATCTCCCGCAAAAACAAAAGTAATCCCGCCCATGACTGCAGAGGAGTTCCTTAGATCCTGTAAGGTTCTGTTCACGACCTCTATATGTGCTCTATGGCTCATCATGCATTCGTCCCACATAATCAATGAGGCGTCTTGTAGTAATTTACCAAAAGGCCCATTTTTGCGGATAGAACATGTAGATTGTTGCTCTAGATTTACGGATAGCGGAAGTTTAAAAGTAGAATGGGCTATTTTTCCATCTGTCAAGAGAGTTGCAGCAATTCCTGAGGAAGCTAGTTTGAAAAGCATATTTTTGATCAGGGACTAATTTTGGCAGGTTTTCATTTACAAAAGCGGTCAAATTATTTGTATCATAGTGATTAGTTATTGTCTCTGCTCCATTATTTTCTATACGAACTGAACATGGTAATCCATAGTCATAGTTAGGCTTTTGTCATTTAATTGCATCAGTTTATTTTCTATTTGTATCAAACCTTGGTTGTAAATTTCCGCATTGTATGGTAACGTGAAGTTAAGATTTTGCTGTCTGATTCTGTGTCTAATATCTTCACATAAATCGTCTTTAAAAATGTCCCATAATTTTAATGGTTCCGATGGCTGACAAAAAAAAAGTATGACTACAAACAATTCTCTCAGTTGTTGTGAACATTGAGAAAGCAAAGCTTCTCTGAGAGTATTTTCCCAATGGTCATCGTTTTCTAGCAAACCTCTAGCACGGCAAGTAGCTTGATATGTTTCTTTGAGAACTCCGTCAAAGGTTTTTAAGTACTGGAATAAGGTTGGGCCCCGTACGTGATGTAGCAACATCCTAAGATAGAAACACTCGGATTGAGAAGGATGGACACCGTAGACTCTACCTAAAGCTGCATCTTTTTTTATGCCTGGATGTCCAACTACATCCTCACCACGCTTCCTTCTTGTGAACTTATTATTGACCCATGTATAGTACTGCGGGACTTCGTGGTATAGAAGTGTTTTTGCGAATTCATCTTCATTACATAGCTCAAAAAAAGCCAGCCAAGTTGTTTTACACGGATTTTGAGCCACTTGTTCAGCTGTTTCGGCGGTAAAATACACCCTTTGGCCATTTTCTAAGTGGACAGCTAACTGCAAGACTGTAGGATGGCGCTCGTGGATTGGAAATTCCAATATTCGCCAGACAGCTTCGGAAGTACTAATGTACCGGCCATTCACGTAGTTATCCACTTCTTCATTTGGTTTTCTGACGCCAAATGTAGCTTAATCCGATCCTTTATTTATATATTTACAAATGTATTTGATAGCTTGAACTGAATGACAGTACTCTACATTTATGTGAGCATTGAACGTCCTGCACAAAAGTGGAGAATAAGGGACAATCCAGCTATTATCTATTGTGAAACTACTGCCTCTGATATTGAGCGATGCACTCTGTCCTCCACTTGCAGCATCACGACGACGATATACTGGATATCCGTCATCTCCGGTTTGAGTTTCGTTGACCAAACGTCGCGGGTATTTTTTTGTGCAAATGCCATTTTTCATACATGGTGCTGTTAAGTTATGTTCTCCGCATGGTCCGTGCACCATATTTTTAGTTACGATATCGTACAATATTGGATCGTTTTGTTGGTTGGAAAGTTCTGCAACTATGACCCTATCAATTTCGTCTGGTTGGATTTTTGTCTCTAGCCAAAAAAGCATATGACAGTGTGGTAAACCTCGCTTCTGCCACTCAACACTCGCCATGTAACATTTCACTTTGCCGAATATTTCATCTTTATTGAATAATTTTATGAATTTCTTCATTTTGAAGTGAAACACCCTTGAAATGATGTCGTGACGATCGAAAGATCGCTGACCAGATAGTAGTTCCGCTTTAATTTCAGGCCTTTCAGGATTGCACGTAAACGTGACAAATAAGTCTGGTCTCCCGTAGTTTCGGACATACGTCATCGTGTCTTGGGTTTTTTCATGCAGGTAACGCGGAGAACCTGAAAATGACATGAAATGAAGACGGTAAGATTATGCGCTGACCGATATTTGATGGGTCCACATTTCCGTCTTGATTTAAAGCATCCCTGAGATGAATGTATTCTTCCGACCTTAGTCTCTGTAAGCATTGTGGATTTTGGCCTGATGGTGGTAAAAGGCTACCAATAAGATGATATACCTGGCCCTCTATTTTAAAAGTTGGCATAAAATTACCTTCTCTTATTTCTTTCGCGCCAAACGAAGTCATTTGAAAAAGACTATTGTACTTACGGATGTTGGTTAGGAAATGTCTAGATAGCGAATGATTATTTGTCAAAAGATTTTTTATTGGCTGTGGTGGTTCTTGAATATTAGGGACACTAACTTTTCCAGAAGCACAGCACATGCCATTAGTTTCATCGACCCATTGGCAAAACAATTAGGGCAAATCTTATTCATGTCGCCGATTTGGACAGAAGACTGTTGAGCATAATCAATCTGTGGTTCGTATCTAAAAGCCGATCTGTTACTGTGAGCTACAACTCGATTGCGAACTCTAGCTCTTGTAGTCTGTTGTCGTTCTCTCTGGAATTTTGCTCTTCAAGCCGCTGCGAACACCCAGTACTTGACTCTCGCGCGTGCACATGAGAGGTTCTTAAATTTTGTTCAGCTAGGCGCTGCGAACGCTCAAGACTGGACTCTCGCGCGCGAACTCGAGAAGTTCTCACATTTTGTTCAGCGAGCCGTTGTGACTGCTGAATACTGGACTCTCGCGCACGTCTTTAAGAGGTTCTAATATTCTGTTCAGCGAGCCGTTGCGAACGCTTGTTACTCGACTCTCTGGCACGCGATTGTGCCACATATTCTCTCTGACTTAAAAGACGATTTTCAGTTTCAGATGAAGATTCTTTATTTTGACATGTTTTTTTGGCCCTGGCCTGAGAATTATTTCTAGAAAGTTGAGATCTTGATCTTTTGGGCATTTTAAAATGATAAAAGAAAAAAACGTCTTCGAACTAAATAATTACCTATATAGCTATGCTATCTTTGAGCTACTTACTACAACAACGTACACAACTACTAACTATTTATTAAATCATAAAAATTATTCAAGTAATAATTTCTTAGGATAACTATAATAAATACAATATCTATGCTATATGCTAGAATTTAGCTCTGAAAAGAACTTTTTGAATGGGATTAGTTACCTGTTAACGAATTATTAACTACTAACTAAGCGACAAAATATTATCAAGCGACAATTTTTTTATTTCCGCACACGAGTGAGCCGCGCGCCAGATTATTTTG